ATATTAATTACATTTTTGTTATATTTGAATGAAGAAGAATCAAATACCAAAACATGATTATGTGTAGACACATATTCAAACACTTATTAATTACAAAATATTGTGATTTTATTTCAAATGATTTTAAATTCATCCTATTTTTATAAATAATGATGTTTTTCATAACTTCTTTAAATAACATTAGTTATTAATCATTCATTATTAGAAGACATTATATATTATCAAAACATAAATAATATAATATTTCATACTTTCAATTCTGATAATAAAATAGAAAAGAATCATTTAATTTGAATATCATATCAAATAAAAGTAAAATATAAATAAAAAATAATGTTGAAGCTGAAATAATCACTTCTGAATAAGAAGAAAATAAACTTTTGAAAATATCAATTAACTAGTCCTTTTCATTAAAACTTTGTTATACAGTTGTTTCTTATCTTCTATACTTTATTTCATAATTATTTAAATGTTGTAGGATATATTTTTTGCTTGCTTAATTTATCTAATAAATTATGTGCTTTATTGAAAACAATAATCTGTTGGTTTTAACACCTTATTTTTATATCTAATCATTAATTCAATCATAATGCTGGTGTAAACTTGTTTAAATATTTTGAATTAATTCTATCTATTTATTATTTTATAATACATATTTTATAGTATATTTTATTGTTTTTATTCATGTCTTAATTATGTCAAAACACATTACACCATCTTATTCTTCTTCATCCTCAACACCATTAGTAAAAAGATAGTAATAATAACATTCATTATATGTGGAATATTATAATTATTAGAGAATTAACATTACTATGATATTTATAAATAGAATAATAAAATATTTAATTTTCTTTATTATTTACTTTTTATAAAAATATGAGATGATTTAATTAAACAGAAAAATAACCAATCAAAAAGAAATAATTAATTTTCCACTTATTTTGAAAGAAAAAATAATATTAATCCCACAAAATAAAGATAAAAAATGACGTTTTCTGATATTTTGTCTTCAACAGTGTTATTATTCTAAAGGTAATATTCGTATCATCCATTATTCATTAGACAACATATGTAAAGAGCAAGTGGTGGTTGAGTATAATATCCTTGTGGATGAGGTGCTCTGCGTGGGTTGTTTGTGGTTGTAGAATTGTATATTGGAATAACTGAATCAACTGTAACTTTTGACTTACAAACAGAGCATTTCCCTTGTCGAGTAAGCCATTCTCGTAAACATTCCCAACAAAACATATGTCCACATTGTGTAACAACTGCATTTTGTGCTGTGTCAAGACAAATCAAACATTCAAATTGGTTTTGCCTGTTTCTTTCGTTGATTTTTCTATATTTTCAGTTTTTTCTTCTTTTTCTTCCTGTATTTCTTTTTGGTTATCTTGTATTTCTTCTTTTTCTTCAATAGTCCTAATAGAATTATTGCTGTTCTTATTTAGTAATTATTCTATCATATTAAGTGAATTGTGTTGAGGTTGTTCCATTCTTTATAAACAAGTATTTTTAAAATAAAAGATGGTGATGAATTTATTTTGATTTATCTATTCAATAAAAAAATAAAATAAGTAATTTTTATTTAAGAAAAGAAAACCAGAAAATTAAAATAATGAAAAAACAAAACATAAAAAAATTTAACAAAAATAAAATTGTTTTTCATTCAAGATTGTTATTTATCACTTTTTCTTATTTAATTCTGAACCATCATTGTATCTTCTTCTCTTAAATATTCTCCTAAATCTCCTTGATTATAACAGACAATCCCTGTTGCACTTAATCGAGAATATTCAACTGAAGAACATGCTGTTGTTCCAAAGCCAATTGCAATATCATTTTCATTAAACATAACACATCCTATGTTTCTTGCCATGTTGTCTGTTATTTTACTTATTCCGTTTTTGACTAAATGATTTCCATATAAAAATGATGTTTCTGCTTCTGGTTTTACCCATATTTTACATGAACAATATTGTGCTAAATATGGTAATGCAGTTATGTGAAGTTTAAATTTCCCTGTTTTAGTGAATTTCCCAAAACATGTGCCAAGTGATAATAAATTCTCTCTTCCAATTGTGGTAGCTTGTTCTGCAATACTAAGTCTCACATAATAAACTCTATCCTTTTGTAATCTAAAACAATACTCTTCATTTTCGTTGTCTATTAAAAATCGAATGTTTCTGCCAATGTACTTCGCTAGTTTCTCAAAAAATGATTTTGTTTCTTCATCAGTTAAAGGTCTCATTCCTCACTTCTCTCTTTTGCTTTTCAGTTGTTTTTATTTCTGTTGTTTTTTTAAAGGGTTTTTTCTTCCATTTCTTCCTTCTATTTCTTGTTTTTTCTTTTTTTGTAATTTATCCCACAATTTTCTTTTTTGTCTTTCTTTTCATCTCATTTCTTGTGATATATCCGATGATGAACATTCTAACTCTCATCTGTTTGCATTAAACTCTACACCACTAACACTCTTTATTGAACAAATTCAAATACTCACTTCTCAATTTGAAGTAAATCTAATTGTAGATATTCTATTAATTGACTTTTTCACACAAAATTAAAATAAATTTAATGTTTTTTGAAATTCTTCATAAAATGAACCAAAAAATTACATAAAAAATATGAATAGATTCAAAGCTGGTAGTACCTATCTTGAATAAACCCATATTCTTTAAATCCCATGTCTGAGAGATAGTCTAACAAATGATCTATTTATAAATACCATTCAATAATCTCTTGAACTTATTTATATCAAAGTATAACAACTCTGACTTATTATTCTTTGAAATAACTCCTTTATTACTTAAACATTCAAACTGAGGAAGTATTTCACTACTCTTAACTGGTAATGAACTATAATCAACCACAGTCCTTTGGTGCTCAACAAAAGGAGAACCTCTAATGTTATTTAATGGGTTATCTTCCATTGAGCTACTAATGTTAGTAGGAGGTTCTAGTTGTAGAATTTTAACACCTTCATTTAATTGCTGAGATGATGAACTAACTTTGTCATTAAAACAATTGAATTTACTTTCATCAATAGCTTGATCCAAGAATTTTTCTTTTGAAAGCAAAAGAATGTTTCCATATGATGTTTTACTTAAACAATCTTTGTCTCCAATAAAAACACTTTCATACTTTGTTTGAGAACTTTTTTCTTTTTTGAGATATTGACACAAAAAGTCATATACTTGAATTCCTGTTGTATTTAATACTTCTATTTTATTAAATATACCAATACATTTACCATCTTTCTTTACTAATGGAAGTTTTGTATATTGTTGGCTACTAATGGCACTTTTTGATACTTTTGTGTGTGCCAAACTATTATCACTCCCAATTTCATTGTATTTAAGATAACATTCATTAATGATATTCATAACAACAAGTTCATTGTAAACTAATTTCTTCTTATTTTGTTTTCCACTTTTCTCAGTTACTTCTTTCTTTATTGGAATTTCTTCTTTATCAAATTTTAATTTGGCTTCTTTCCCTTCTTGAATTAATTCATATTCACAGTCTTTATCAAATATTATTACTTTATTTTCGTTCCATATCTTTTGAATAGGGAAGAAGTGGTGTAACTTTTCTGCTATTCTTTGTTCTTTTGAAATAAGAAATGACCATCCTTTTGTTATCAAGTAGTAACACCCAGCTAACATATACATTCTTCTTGTATTTGTTGAATTCATTTTAGTTTGAGCAGTTAAAGTTTCCTTTGGGAGTCTTGGAACTTTCTCTAGTCTTTTTGCCATATCTTTAATGAAAATGTAGTTATCATCTAGGTTAAATAAATAACTGTAACTAAAAATAAAATAAACATCATTAGTATTTTTTACATCTTAAATAGTTACCCCCATAATGATTTTTTATTTAAACTTTTCAATTCATCTTTCATAATTAAAAAAGAAGTTTATTTTATTATTTATATTCTTTTTAAACTATGAATTAATTAATTTAATTTATACTTAAAACTTCAAAAATTATTTTTAAAATTATTTTTTTATTCTTTTGTGGAATAAATTCAACTCTGCCAATTTTATAAACAGTGAAATACACAACTCTTTGACATAATTTTATTTCTTTTATACTTATTTACTTTCTAAATTTAAAGTAATAATAATTAAATTAAGGTTTAATAACTTTTAACATATTGTTCAGATGAAAATTTCTTCCCTTCCTTCACTCTCCTGAGAGTCTTCTTCTTCTGGTACTTTTACATTGTTGTATTCTCCAGAATGATCTCCACAGTATCTCATAATATCTTTCATATTTGATATTACAATCTCTCTTGTCATTATTTCCCATGGTATTTCTATTCCTTCTGCTTTTAGTAATATAACTGTTTCTTTGTTTATTAATCCACTCACTGTTATTACTACTGGTATAATTATTACTCATACTAATCTTTCTATCTTTCTTATATGTTCGTGTAGTTTTGAATACTTATTAATCTTATCTGTAAATGCTTTACTTATGTTTTTATCTCTTACTATTGTCATATCTATAATCATTACTTCTTTCTTGTTTAAGTCTCTGACATAAATGTCTGGTCTTTTATGGAATTTTCCGTCACTTCTGTTTACTATTTCTTGATTCCAAACTATAAGTATTTTATCTTTCTCTATTCTTCTTTCATTCTTTCCTAATTCTTTTTTCCTTATTATTAATTTCTTTGTATTTTCTTCTTCTCTCATCTTCATCTTTTCTTTGTTTTCATATAATTGGTATTTAATCTTTAATCTCCTCCATATATATTCTCCTATTCTATCATGTTTATTCATTTGTGTTTTCTTAGTGATTATATAATTCAAAAGAATATGATCTATTGTTGCTATCTTATTACACATTAGACACATTGCATATCTCATGTCATGTTTCATTCATGCTTTCCTTACTCCTACATTTCTTGCTTTCTCTTGCATTTTCTTTATTTGTATATATGCTTTTCTTATAACATTAATTACTTTCCACACTTTAATTGTTTTCTTCTGCTCAGTCATTTTATCCTCAAATCCTTTCAATATTTCACTACTTACTTTCTTGTTTCTCCATTTATTGATATATTCTTCTTGGAACTTCTCTCTTACATACTTGATTATTCTGTTTTTATCCCGTTTTCCTCTTTCTTCTTCTGTTACTATTTTCCTAAATTCTTCTTTGTTTATTCTTTTTCCACATGCTTTATACAATCTATTCCACATTCCATTCTTCTTTTCATTTATTTGTATCATGTCTCCTATTCTATCTCCTCTTTTCTATGTGTAATACAAAATAGTTCTTATTAATTCAATTGCATATTCATCTCTAATGTTTTTCATTCCATCTCCCATTTTATTTCTGTTTACATATAATCTGCTACTACACATTCATGCTCAATTAATCTTTCCTTCTTTCATTTCTCTCCTTATCATTTTATCTATTTCTATCAGCTTCATAATTGGTTATTTAACTACAGATGCACTATATGTGAAATTAGGAATTATTTCTGTATTAATTCAGTTAATATGATTCATACTACTGTCATTCCCTTTATTGTTTTCTTTTATTCCTTCTTCTACACTTCTACTTATTCTTTCTATGCATCCAAAATCATCATTTCTTGTGAATTGATAAACACCTAAATACTTATATGGATGTTCTGAGTCTATTATTGGAATGTTTTTCATATTATCTGGTATTTCTATATTTCCTTTCTTCATTACTCAACTTTTATTTACATTAACTTCCATTCCTATTACTTCTATTGTTTCTATTATATTTTTATGCACTATTTCCATTCCTTTCTTTGTTTCACTTGTTACTTTAATATCATCCATGTATAGTACGTGTTTCACTTTTAGTCTTTTCTCATTTGTTCTATCAATAACATCAGAGATGATATTTATTTGTAATATGAATAGGAGTGGAGAAAGGGAATCTCCTTGTAATATACCATTCTTTATTTTAACTTCTCCTATTTCTTCTTTATATCCATATCCTATTCTTATTCTCCATCTACTACTCATACTTTTTATTAATTCAGTTATTTGAAATGGTATTTTGAAGTATCTTAATACAATTTCTAACCATTCATGATTAACTGTATCATATGCTTTTCTAATGTTATAGAATGATTCTAAATATCTTTTCTTCTGTACTTCTCTTTCATTTCTTTCTAATAAACGTATGATACTTCGTTCTTTTGCTGCCAGACTTCTTTTCTTATTCCTATATTGACTCTTATTAATTTGGTATTTATATTCATTATTTGCTAGTTATTCTTCTATCTTTCTCTTTATGATTGAAGTAAAGATTTTCATTATTACATTAAGACATGTTAATGGTCTATAAATCTCTGCTTTTTTGCTATCTCCTCCTTTGTGTATTAGAATAGTTCTTCCTGTTAGCATTTCTATTTGAATGTTTTCTGGAGTGTCTAACCATTCATTAACACTATAACTAATCTGTCTCTAACACTCTCTAATATTTTCCAGTAATATCCCTGAATGCTGTCAATCACTGGTGCTTTCCATGATGGTATTCTTGTTATCACATTCTCTATGTTTTCTTTTGTGTTTATTATTCTTTTCAAATTCCTTCTATTACTCTCTTCAATCATCTCTTTTATTCTTTCATTCTCTTTCTTTATTCTTTTTCCTCTGTTATATATCTTATTCCAAAACTCTTTTGTATCTTTTTCACTTGGTTTTTCTTCTTCTCTTCCTATTTCCTTTCTTATTTCTTTCCAGTAGTGCTCATGATTTTGTTTCTGTAGATTCTGGTTCTTTTACTTTTGTTTAAGTCTACTTCTTTTTCCTCATTTCTTTTAAGTATTCTAATTGTTTTATTTCTTCATTTACTTCTCCCCTTATCTTTTCTTCTATCATTCTTCTTATTCTTAATACCCTTCTTAATTTTTTATAGTTTCCTCTTATTAGCATGTCTTTTAGTTTATTTATCTTCCTTTGTATTACTACTTCATATTCTTTCTTAAATCCTATGAATTTGTTTTCTAAATACTTCTTTATTATGTATGTTATTCGGTAAATGTCTTCTTGTATCTCTTTAATACCTCCTTCTTTCCATTCCCATTTTTCATCAATATATCTTATTATCTCTTCACATATTTCTTTATTGAAATAATATTCAATGTATCTACACTCTTTGGTTTCTTTTCTTTTACTTTTCTTTATTAACTCTTCTATGTATTCTACATCAATCTCTTCCTTCTTTTTTTCTAATAATCTCTCTAATCTTTCCATTTTCTATATTATCTTCTTCTTTAGTCATGTCATCTACTTTCTTATTAATGTATTCTATGTTTTCTTTTTTAATCCCTTTACTTCTTTTAACTGTTTTTATACATTCTTTGATTGTAATATCAATATGATATGCTTCTAATATTCTTTTTATTTCTTCTTTTCTTAATTTCTTTTTTATTTTAATATTCATTATGTTAATTCCATAACAGACATATTCTTTCTTCTTTAATTCTGTTTCTTCTCTTCTCCTTGTTTCACTTCTTTCTCTTCTTTCTTCTCTTGTTCTTCTTCTATTATGATCATCTTCTTCTGTTCTTTCCATATTATATTCATTGTTTCTGTCACTGATGATGCTCGTCGTATAATTGTCCATTGTTCTGTCTCTTTCATCCTTGTTCTTTTCTTCTGTTTTTGGAAATTTCTTTCTTCGTCTTCTTGTTCTTTAAGTAATTCTTCTACGTCTATTCATCTTTTTTCTATTCCATTTATTAGTAATTGTGTTTTCCTTCTTTCTTTCATTACTTTACTTTCTATCATACTTTTATCAATTTGTCCTTGTAGGTATTTGTTCTCTATTCCTTTCTTCTCTTTTACCTTTTCCTTCATTTCTTCGTCTTTTTCGTTGCTTTTCATTCTTTCTTCTTTTTCTATATTTTCTTTTCTTTCTTCTTCTATTATCTTGTCTTTTTCTTCTATTTCTTTGTCTTTCATCTTTCTAATCTTCTCCATCTCTTCTTTAATCTTGTCTATCTTTTATTTTGTTTTCTTTATTTCTTCTTCTCTCTTTTTGTTGATTTCTTTAATCTCTTTCTTTTCTTTAATCTCTTGGATTTCTTTCTCTTTTTTTTTGTTTCTCTAGTTTTCCTTTAAGTGTTCTGATTCTTTCTTCTTTTTTATTTATTTCTATAGCATGTGTGCTTTTAGTCTTTCTATCTCTTGTTCTCTCTTTTTAGCTTCTTCTTGTTCTTCTTTTTTCTCTCTATTTTTCCTCTCTTCTTATTTTCTTTGTTTTTGTATTTCTTCTTTGCTTTTTATCTTCATTTCTAACTCTTTTTTTTCTTTCTCAAATGTTGTCTTCATTTTCATCATCTCTTCTTCAAATTCTTTAGTAATTTTTCTTCTTTCTTCTTCATATTTTTCTATTATTGTTTGTTCCTCTTCTTCTTGTCTTTATTCATTCTCTTGAGTCGATTTTTCTTGAATTATTTTTTCTTTTTTTCTTCTATTTCCATTGCTATTTCTTCATAGATTCGAAGATGGCACGTCAGAGACACCACATGAAACCCTAAAATAATCCCATGCTTCGAATCTCCCAGTTATCGTCTGGTTATGACGTGCCTTTGGTGAGATAATATCTATTCAACACTAACTGTTTATTATTATTAATACTTATTAGAAGTGATTATTATAAAAGATTATTATTCATTGAGGTGTATTGTTATTCATTAACGTGTATTGTTATTCATTGAGGTGTATTGTTATTCATTATTAATTATAAGGATTATTATTTACTAAGGAGGTATTATGTATTAAGAATTATCATTTATTAAAGAAGACGCATATATAATTGATATTGTTGCACAAAAATTAAACATAAGGATATTATCAAGGAATAGGGTTTCTTTAAGGGGTGTCGAAGGTAAAAGGAGATGAGCTATAACAGTAAGTTATGGATATACTCTCCTTAAAACAACAATATAAAGAATGAGAAATATTATATTACTCATTAAAATCAAAATAAAAGTCAGGCAGCAACTTAAATGAGGAACCATTTAAGTCGAGCATGCTTGCAAAAACTTTATTTCAATAGAAATAAAGCGTGTTGAAGAAACTGATTCACTCACTTCTCAACATGATGAAAAACCTAAAAAGAAGGTTAATCATAATTGATTTCTTTTTTTTTTTTTTTTTCCATTGCTATTTCTTCTTCTTTTACCTTTGTTGTTATCTCTAACTTTTCTTTAACTAGTCTCTCTAATTCTTCAAATCTTTTCATCCATTTTTGTATTGTTTTTGTATTTTCTTCTTTCCTTTTATTCTTCCATCCTTGTCTTTTCTTATAATATCCTTTATTCTTATATCTTCCTCTTCCAAATCGTTCATTTCGATGATAATACTTGTTAACCTTTCTTCTAGGATTGTAATAATTTTGGTTATAATATTTTCTGTAATAATCTGAGTGCTCTAGTGTTCTGTTGACAGTGTTATTATGGTAATAATATTTCTTATAGTGTAGTTATTGAACATTTTATGATCATCATTCTTATAGTCTCTATTGCGTTTTTTGATTCTATTTCATGTTGAGTACCCTTGTTGATAACATCTTCGTGACATTCCAATCTTATCTTTTCTCTCATTCATAAAATAAAGAAAAAAGGAAAAAGAAAATGTTTAAAATTAAGATAGAAAATAAACAAAAGGAATAAAAAGAAGGAATAAGCAGAAGAAGGAAGAGAAGACATTAATAAGAAAAAATAAAGCAAAGAAGTGATTTTCTCAATTTGCAAGAAAAACATAAATGATAAGTTAAAGAAAAAGATTAGTCTTTTTTAAACAGCGAAGAGATTAATCTCGTATGATCAATGAAGAATAAATGAAAATTTTATTAATACTTAATTAACTATTATTTAATTAAATATTATTTCATCACTCATATTCTTCAAAACAATATTTTGGTATTGTTTTATTCTTTTTTAACTCTTCTTCACATTTGCAACCATAAAAACACCCATTTCCAAATAATGTAATTGTTGATGGTATATTAATTGATTTTAATGATAAACATTTTGAAAAACATCCATTTCCTATTTTACTAACACTTGTTGGTATATTAATAGTTGTTAATGAATAACATTTATTAAAACATTCATATCCTATTTTACTAACACTTGGTGGTATATTAATAGTTGTTAGTGAATAACATTCATCAAAACAACTATCTCCTAATTCACTAACATTTGTTGGTATTTCAATTGATTTTAATGAATCACAATATGCAAAACATCCATCTCCTATTTCACTAATACTTGTTGGGATATTAATTGATTTTAATGAAGTACTTCCTTTAAAACAATAATCACCTAATTTAGTGATTGATGATGGAATAATAAATTCATTAATATCTTTCTTTTCAATCTTCTTTCCATTTATTATTTTTAAATTTTCTGGTGTTTTAATACTATTTAACAGTGGTTCATTCATAAATATTCTTTCTTCACTTATATATTTTACATCTTCTATATTAATTGATTTTAATGAATAACATTCATTAAAACATTCATATCCTATTTTACTAACACTTGTTGGTATATTAATAGTTGTTAATGATGTACATCCTTTAAAACAATAATCTCCTAATACTTTAACACTTGTTGGTATATTAATTGCTGTTAGTGAATAACATTCACAAAAACAATTATATCCAATTTCACTTACACTTGTTGGTATATTAATTGTTGTTAATGAATAACATTTATTAAAACAATTATATCCAATTTCACTTACACTTGTTGGCATTTTAATTGATTTTAATGATGCACATTTATAAAAACAATAACTTCTTATTTCATTTACATTTGTTGGTATTTTAATTTTTTGCATACCATCACAGCGGCTAAAACAATAATTTCCAAGTGAATTAACTTCTATTGGTATTGTATTTCCAAATATATTTCTATCATATATTGTATATTCGATATTTTTACATTCATTCAACACTTTTTTCTCTTCTAAATATCTTGAATAACTCACATCATACCATATTATTTGTTTAATTATTCTTCCATCTTTAAATATTTCATCTTCTTTATTATAAATATGAAATATGTTAATATTAGGAAACAATTTTCTTGAATGTTGATTCAATGGAATTGGATTAAAATGAAATCGTTCCATATTTCCTCTAAATCTTTTAACCCCCATTTCTAAATTAATGAAATCATTAATATCTTCAAAATACTTTGAGACAATCATTATTTCATTATATCCTAATTGCATTCTTTCTTTATTATTTTTGATTATTTATTAGTTCTTCTTTTATTTTGAGTTTGAACTTAATTTATTTTTAAAATAATCGTCATTCATTTTTTCTTCTTTTTATTTTTTTTAATATAACATCGAAGGTAGCACGTTTGAAACAACACACATAAACACTAATATAATTCAAACTTCAACTTTTACTGTTATTTTCTGGTTATGACGGTGTATTTGAATTAGAAATGTATTAGGTAAAACTGCAAAGGGTGGAGCAAGATATTATGATAGAATATTACATGGTGTAATATAAGGAAGTACTAAAGTGTGGGTAAGACTAAAAGAAAATTAAACATAATAATATAATGGGAATGAAATAGTCTTTTCTCTCATTCATAAAATAAAGAAAAAATGAAAAAGAAAATGTTTAAAAATAAGACAGAAAATAAACAAAAGGTTAAAAAGAAGAAATAAGCAGAAGAAGGAAGAGAAGACATTAATAAGAAAAAATAAATCAAAGAAGTGATTTTCTCAATTTGCAAGAAAAACATAAATGATAAGTTAAAGAAAAAGATTAGTCTTTTTTAAACAGCTCAGGGATTAGTCTCGTATGATCAATGAAGAATAAATGAAAATTTTATTAATACTTAATTAACTATTATTTAATTTTATTTCATTGAGTTAATTCAAATAAGAAATTGTAAGAAATGACAATTTCTTATTTGTTTTTCTTTGTGTATTTCTTTTTCTAATCTATTTTTCTTTTGTATTTCATTTACTTTTATTATTATTGGTGTTATGCAATTTATTGTTATTGGCATTCATTCTATTGTATGACATTGGTTTTCTATGAATTGTTTGCTTTCTTTACAAGACACAATGTTCTTATTCAATATTCATGACATTAAAATTTGTTGTATTTCCTTCATTGGAAAAAGACATATATTTGAGAATAAAAAGGAATTATTTAAATAATATAAGAGTTATTTTCTATTATTCTTTGTTCACATGAGATTATTCATGTCTTCGACTTTAAGATTGTTTATTCATCTATTGTTCAGTTATATCTTATTTATTCCCTGTTGAGAAGAGTGTTTTCTATTTCTTATTCATTTATTACCATTGAACGTTGTCTTTTCAAACACCATCAAATTAACATTTAATTCTTCCTCTTATAAATTGTTATTTCATCTTTATGTTGAATTTATTTTGGATTTAAATCCTTCCTTCTTTACAATATTGTTTTATGTTGAATGAACATATCATTATCATTATAGGATTACTCTATATGTTCATTTATCAACAACATGAAAATATTTTCTTTGATAATATCCATATTAACAAATACACTTGCATTCTAAGATGGAATTAATATTATCATCTTAGTAATTACATATTCTTCTATTATAATAAATGATATTGCCAACATCATTTGGAATAATCGGTACTATTTTGCAGTGTTGAATTAGATAGTTCCTATCCAAATACAACATCATAACAAAAGAATAACTTGTGATTGAAGGATTTGAATTATTTCAGTGATTGTGTAGTATTTTTGAAGTGGAGTGTTTGAATCCTAAATAATACTAAAATAAAATAGAAATAAAACTATCTTTAATAAAATAGAATAAAAACCTAATTGTTTAAATACAGACAGTTCATCTAGAAAGTATAAAGTGCAAAAAATGGTATGAATAAACATATGTTTATTCAAGAAGCTGTTTGCACAAGATTAAATCCATTATTATCAATCGTATTAAATATTTGATATGATTTTCTTAAATGGGTAAATTACAAAGAAACCGATTTTCACAAAATGTTGGTATTGTTTATATTGTAATAAATAACATATAAACAAAACAATTTATTTGTAATGAAAAAGATAAATGAAGTTAAATTTATAAAATAAATAATGAAAGAAGTTAATTAATTCATCTTTTATGTTTTATTGAATTTTTTTCTTTTCTTAAATATGAATTGTTTGTATTTTCAAATAGATAATAATGAATGAAGAATTATAATTTAATAAGAAAGTTATTCATATCTATAATGAACATTATGACGAATTATTTTCATACTACATAAAACATTATTTAATGAAATAAAATGGAATAAGTTACTCAATCACTTGAATTTCAATGTCAAATTCATTTATCTGTTTTTGAATTAAATAATAATTTTATTCCCTTTTTTATTTTTTAATTCATTGTATTTATTTTATATTATTTAAAAGAAGTTTATATTTGTCATGAAAGAAGTGGAAAGAAAAGTATAGAAAGAATATTACAATCAAAAATATGTAGATTAAGAGATTTACTCAATAATAAACAATATATGAAATTGAAAATAATATTACATATTAAGAAATATGATATATATCATATTAAGTAAAAACAATTGAACAAATAAACTATTATAAATACCTCCGAAAGATGAAAAGAATAGAAATAGAATCAAGAAAGAATAATTTGAAAAGAATAAGATGGAAATATAAAATGATGAAATATGGAAAAGACAACATTTAAATAAATCTAAAGAAGATGAATATCCAGATAATATCTCCTCATTAATTTCTGGAAATGAATCTATGAAACTAATACTAATATAGATTTTATCTAAATATTAATTTATATGAAATATTAATTGAAAATAGAATTAATAATAGAATGTTCATAATCACTCTAAATGAATTAGATTGTAATATTAAATTCATTAATAATTTAAAAATAATTTGAAAATGATAAAATACAATGATTTTGGATTAAATAATTAGAACAACCAATGAAATATTTAATAAAATTATTTAATGAATTGTTAAATAATCCTAATGAAATACCTCTTCATTTTATTCAAGGAAGAACAATATTAATATATAAGAAATGAGATAATTTAGACAAAAAGAAATACAGACAAATAACTTGTTTAAATTGTTTGTTAAAAGTATATCCATCAATATTAAAAATGAAAATAGAAAATCAATTGACGTTAAATCAAATTGAAAAAAACAATTATCATTAAATCAAATTTGATGTAAAAATTATACATATTCATCAAAAGAAGGATTATTATACAACAATATAATCAATCAATTATTAATAAGAATAAATGGAAGTTGGTAGAAACATATTATGACGTCTCCAAAGCATATGATAGTATTAACCACTAATGGATTAAACATTGTTTAATATATTTTAATATCCCACTTGTAGTAATTAATAATAATATTATATATTAAATAATACACATCTTAATTTATATTATAATCAAGAAAGTGATAGTATTATTAATGTAGAAAAAGAAATAATACAAATGATAGTTTATCTCCACTTTTATTTATATTATCTATTGATATACTATCTAAGCAATTAGATAAACAAATAAGCAAATTAAATATTAAAATGAATGGAGAAGAAAAAACAAATCCAGTTAAACAATATATTATATAATGATGAATTAAAGATAACGACTAATAGCCTCATTGAAATGGAAAAATCCCACAAATTAACTAAAGAAATATTTAA